CCATGCACACTTGATCCCAGTTTCTCCACCCTGCCAGGGTCCTGGACGCCCCCTCTGTGTCTCTCTCTCCCCGACCCAGCTCCTGGAATACGTGGGAGGTTCCCCTAGACCTGAGTCTATTAAAGCTTATCTGTTGCCAAGATCCCTGGGGGCAGAGCTTGTGGGTCATCAGCAGAGTCCTTTGCTGCTGCACATCTGGCTGCTACTCTAGCAACCTTGGGGGAGAAGGCCTCACCTCTCACCCTCGCCCAGATGGTAAAACACTACCCTCTGGGCTGAGGTGAGAACTGAGTGGCCCGGAGTCCCTGCAGCCATCTATTGGATGCACAGATGGGTGGGGAGGGGGGAGGGCAACCCGGGCTGGATAATGGCCTCAGCTCTGCTCACTCAGTCTCACGCAGCACCCATCCTGTGCCTGGCACCGGGTCTCACCCAGGCCACAGCAGAGGAGACCAGCAGGCTGGTGGGGGACCTTATGGGGGTCCGAAGAGTCATTAGAGAGCCTGCCTGGATACCCCAGGAGCACGTGTGATACATTTCCTTTCCATCTCCCTTAGTCCCTTCTCTGTCTTGGAGCTGCACTGATGAGGCACATATTCAGGACAGTTAATTTTTATTGCAACCTGAGCAGATGAGATTAAGGAATCTGTCCCTTTGTGGTACAGGAGAAAGCTCTCTAGACTGGATGGCAAGTGGATTAGATTGGAGCTTGGCTTTGATCCCACCATGCTGGGTGACCTTGGGCAAGCCCCCACCCTCTCTGGGCTTCTGTACAACGAAAGGTCAAACTGTGGTTCCCACGGCTCATCAGAGGACCAGGGTCATGCTGGTGGCATAACAAGGGAAACTTGTTCAAAACTCATATCCCCAGGTCCCCAGAGCATCTGATTCAGTAATGATGACAATAATACCAACAGGCAACATTTACTGGATGCTTTGTGTGCCAGGACTTAGACATTTGATACAAATAAGAGACTGTGCTTCTTGCCCACTGTGCTGAGCACTTGACATGAGTTACCTTGTTTAATCTGTGCCATAGTTTATCTTCTTCTTCTTCGTCTTATTTTACAGATGAAGAAACTGGGGCACGGTGAGGGGAAGTAACTTGCCTGGTTATAGCCAGGAAGCAGGAAGCCAGGACTTGAACTAGGAAAGTCTGGCCCCACAGCCTGTCCTGGGTGTGGGACACCTCCCTTGCAGATTCTCATGCTGACCCGGGAGCCCCTGGACCAGGCGGTCAGGAAGTTGTGTCATGGGGATCAGCCTCGTGCACCTACTGTGAGCGCCCCGTTGTCATAGTGATTCGACAAGGTGTGCATGAAGGGCTCCTCGCACACACAACCAGTGCAAGCTCCTACTGTTATTATTGCAGGCAATCCTCACACCATCCTCCTGAGACGGGCTTTAGTGTCTCCAGTTACTGATGAAAACAGAGGTGGCTGCTCGAGACCACAGGGCTGGGGTCCAACTACAAAGCCGTAAGCTCTCACCTAGCACATTGCCTCCACTACCCCACTCTCCCCTGCACCTGGAAATAGATGCTGAATTGTAGCCCCCAACTCTCGGGGCCTTGGTCTTCTCATCCGTAAAATAGAGGAGTTGAACTCATGGGCTGGGAGTCTGGCATCCCAGCCTCTGGCTCTAACACTGTGTGTTCTTGGATAAGTTTATTCTCTCTCTGGGCCTCTGTCTCCCCATCTGGAAAGGAAGGCTCTGTGGTCCCATCCCAACATGACACACAGTCACTGCTTTAACACAAGCCTCCTGGTGATGGAAGGTCTTAGGACTGGCTCCCTGGTAACCGGCTGGGGGCAGAGATGCTCCTGCAAGAGGTTTATTAGGGAGAGCAGTGGGAACACTATGGAAGGGATGTGGGAGGCAGGCCCGCACAGAAGGAGAAGGTGAACTGCGATGCCTTCTCACCTCGTCCCACGGGGCAGTCTGGAGCTGGGATGCTCCGAGTTGAGGCAAGGCATCTACCAGACACTGGACGTGGGTTGCTCACCCTTCCAGGGGTGTGACCTCGGATGAGACAGCTCCCTTTGGCTGAGGGCAGTCCTGAGAAGGGGCTCAGCTGAGGCCTATCGCAGCCACTGTCACAGCCTTCCTGGGCGGCATGTTCCACTACATAAAATCTGCTGAAAAACTGGGGCCCGACCTCGGCTCTGGAGACGACAGCAGACAAGATGTGGCCCGAGCCCTGGGCTTAGCAAGCCAGGTCCTGGCCCGGCTCCAAGCCTTGTGCTCCTGATCGGCTGCCTGCTGCGATCACAGCGGGATCAGCACCCCAGATCTCGCTTAAAGCCCGGCTGCCTCCGCCTGCCTCGCGGCTCATCTCCTGCGGCTCCCCGAGGTCCCAGCGATTATGCCACTGAACATTCCACTTTCATCTCGTCAACCTCACAGTAAATTACAGGCCCGGGGAGGCGTGGGCCTCCTCCTTAAACCAGATTCAATTCCACTTAGCTGCCCCCCTTCCCACCCCACACATGGGTCCCCTCCTTCCCGCCACCCCAGGCTCAGGATTTATGGCCTCTCCTTGCAGGCAGCTGGTAACCATGGCAAGCTCCTCAGGGAGGCTTCGGGCTGGAGCCTTGTCAGCCCGACTCCACTGTGGCCGCTTCCTCCTAGGATGGGAATGAGGAGAGGCCAGGACGGCTGAATGGGCTTCCAGAGGCCGAGGCAGAGAGATAACAGAAACCCAGTCGATTTAGTGAGCACGTCGATGCTGTCACATCTCACGCTCACACTAACCGCAGACACTATCACCGCCCCATTTTATAGATGGGCAAACTGGGCCCGAGGAGTGCAAGGTCAACTGCCAAGGTCACACCGAGGAAGCAGCTGACTCCAGGGCCGCGGCTCTTAAGCACTACAGCCATTGCCTCTTCCCACAATGGCTGCTTTTGGAGGGTTTTAGAGTCTCCTGGAGGTTTCAGGCCTTCTAAGGCCCTGGCTCATCTGAATTCTCTCTTAGATCTCAGCCCCTGCTGACACTCCTCCAGTGATGAGGAGATCACTGCCCCTCCAGAGGGCCCATTATCTCTCTAATGATTGGACACAGTCTCCAAATAATTGGTCCAGCCCTGTCCAGCCCTGGAATGCTTCAGAAGCATTCCAACAATGCCAAAAGGGCATTTAAGGCCCCAGGCCCAAGAACACAAGTGACAGGTCAGTTTCTCTGGCAGACCAGCCACCATTACTTCTCCTTGGTATGGTGGCTCCTCTGCCAGAGAAACTGGCCTGTCGCTCATGTTCTTGGCCCTGGGGCCTGAGGTCAGCACCGCCCCCGCCCCGAGCCTGCCCACTGGAAGTTGTCACTTCCCACCTCCGCAGCTTCCCATCCACGTCCCCAGGGACCACCAGCCTTGTCACTTCTTCCTACTGGACTGCAACCCTGGACCTCCTGAGGCAGGGCCAGGCTCTGATTCATCTCTAGACCCCGGAGCCTAACCCAGGGACCAGCATGCAGTAGGTGCTCAATAAAAGCTTGCTTTACCTAAGGGGGTCAAGTAGGCTTCCTGTGGCAGGTGACATTGGAACTGGTCCTTGAAAGGTAAGTGAACACCACACAGAGCAGAGGGGAAAGGGAAGGCCAGGCAGAGGGAACTGCTTGAGCAAAGTCTTGGAGGAAGGAATATTCAGAGTGTGGGGGGGTGTGAAGTGGGGGAGGCGGGGGCAATGGAGGGGGATGGGGACGAGGGTAGAAAAGTAAGCTGTGGCCAGACTGAGCACCTTGGTAAGGGGCTGGGTCTGAACTCAGTGGTGGGAACACTCAAACGACCTAGCTGTGCCTGGAACAGATGGGGGAAGGGAACGGGGAGACAATATTTCTCACGGGTCCTATGTCCCCAGGTCGGGACTGCTGGGGCGGCAGGCTGCAAACTCATTCGGGCAACTTGCCCCCCAGATTATGCGCAGGGCCTCTTCCGGGAGACAGGCAGCACTGATGCCAGGCCTGAGGGAGGTTTTACTTTATTCTGTCTCCCGACAGCGATCGAGCTGGCAGATAGGGCATCTTCTTCTCTAACCTCCCATCTCAGGCTGCAACGAGAAAGCAAGAAGAGCCCAGCACCTTACTCAAACCTTAATCCTCTCCTTCCCGAGTTTATAGCTACAGATTTGAGTCGTGGATTCCCCATCCCTTTCTCCAGTGGGCACTGCAGGTGCTGAGGAAAATAGAGCTCCCACACTGGGCTGCAGTGTAGGGGCTGCATGGGGGGTGGTGAGACCCTAAATCTACGTTCATCTTTACGGAGAAGGCGGGAGCCGGCGTGGGGGGAGTGACTCCTGACTCTGCTGCTACCAGCTGTGTGACCTTGGGCAAGTCACTTCACCTCTCGGAGCCTCTGTGTTCTCCTCCATAAAACACGGAAAATAAATCTTCCCAGGTTTGTTGTGAGGCTCGAGTAGATGATGAATGTAAAAGTCATCCCCTGGAAAGAGTCAAGTGCTATAACCAGGTGAGGTTTCATTATTATCCACAAGCGAGAGTGGATCTGAGTTGTGAGAGTGAACGGTAATAGTAGCAGCAGCAGTTTGTAGAGCTTTTACTGCCTGCCACTACCACCCTGGGCTGAGCCCATTATAAGCATCCATTCGTCGAATCCCCACCCCAAGTCCCCGCAGGAGGCACTGTTATTATCCCCATTTTACAGATGAGGAAACACATCTGTGCCCATCCTCTATTCTTGCCCTTTGCAACAGAGAAAATGTCACTCACTCCTCCTGTCTGAGGACAGTCCCCTGATCTGGGTTCTGGAGCCCTCTCATACCTTCCTGGCATCTGAGTAGACATATACATATACAATGAATCGTCCCTTCTCCTGCCTTATCTTCATCCCTCTCTGATGGGCTCCTGGCCATCAGCATTTACATGTGCTCAAGTAGATTCTATCTTTAGAAAAAAACAACGGAAAGAAATGCACACCTCCCAGCCCCTTCCCTTCACAGCAAAACTTCTCTGAAGACTGGTTGTATTCGCTCTCTCCTTTACTCACCTCCCACTCTCTTCTCAACCCACTGCCATCTGGCTTTCGTTCCCAACACCACATCAAATGGCCCACAGAGGTCACCAATGACCGCCATCTTGCTAAATCCAATGGATGTTCTCCACTCTTCATTTTACTTGACCTCTCATCATCATTTGAAACACAAAACTAGAAAGTTGGGCTCCTTCCTACCTCTCTGACAATGCCTTCTGTATCTCCTTTGCAGGCTTATTCCCCTCTCTCCTCCTCTCTTCAAACTCCTCAATCTTTTCTTGGGCAATCTCAGCCATGCCAATGGCTCCAATACCATCAAAACTATGATGACTCCCAAAGTTAGTCTCAACCTCCCTTCTGAAGTCCAGGGATAAAAAGACAATTGCCCTCTCAACACCTCCACTTAGATGCCTCTGGGAAACCTCAAACCCAACATGTCCAAAGACAGACATATGCTCTTCTTCCTCAAAACTGGCCCTTCTCCAGGGTGCCTCATCTCAGCAAATGGCACTCATATCTGTCAAGTGGTCCAACCAGAAGGGTGGAAGTCATGATTGACAGCTCTCATCCCTGCACACCCATTGGAAAATCTATTATTAAGTCTGGTTTGCTTTACTTCCTAAATAACTCTCTAAATTGACCACTTTGCCTCATTTACATTACCACCCTAATTCAAACCAGGGGTTCAAGATGACTCTTAAATTTTTGGCTTGACGTTGGATGGTGAGACATTTACCATGATGCAGTGAATTAGGGGAGAAAAGGTTGGGGGAGGAAACAAGAGTTCCTCTTTAGATATATTATGTTTGAGACATTCACGAGACATGGAAGTGGAGATGTGTAGCAGGCAGTTGGATGGAACAGTCTGGAACTACAAGGACAGGGGATATAAATCTGAGATTCACCAGCATGTAGGTGATATTTAATGCTGAGGAAATGAATGAGATCACTTGGGGAGAGATAGAGAGCAGGCCCAGAAGTGAGCCCTGGGGCACTCCAACATCAGAGATGAAACAGAGGAGGAGAGGAAGCAGAAAGACTGAGAAGAAGCTGCCAGTGAGGTTGGAGGTCTTCCAAGAGACTGTGGCGTCATGGAAACCGAGAGCGGAACTAGAGGTCAACATGTTGAAAGCCACCGAGAGGCAAAGTAAACTGAGGATGGAGAAGTGACTCTACGAGGCAATGCAGGGCTTGTTAGTGGCCTTGATGAGACAGCTGATGTCTGTCTTCCCTGCTGGACTGTAAGCTCCACGAGGCAAGGGATGTCACTTGTTTGCTCACATTGTACGTCTGGTGCTTAGCCCATTAGCATTGTTTTCCAGCATGTCTGGTTATCTTTGACTGTGTGTTGGCCATTGTACTTGGATTTCTTTTTAGGAAGAATTTCAAGCCCAGGATGAAGGTATTTTCTTCTAAAAAAGGATTTCCATTTGGCTGTGGTGCTACCATTCTGGAACTGCTTTGAAAAAAATTTGAGGCTTGAGTTTCCCTGGAATACCCAAGTAGTGTGGCTGAGGCTGCCAATCCATGATGCAAGGCTAGGTTACCCTGGGTGCACCCTGACCCCAAGAGTGAAGCCCTCTGGAGCCCCAGCTTATTTTGGTGAGGGTCTCCTACTTGATTGCCCACCTTGTGCAGACCATGGACTTTGATCTCAATTCCCTTTAGGCTGTGAGATCATCAAAAAAAAAAAAAAAACAAATGCAAAATTTCCGAGATCAGCAAATGCCCTCAGGACAAAAGCAGATTCTATGCTCTCTAACTTCTCTGGGTTTCTGTTTTCTCTTCAGTTTTGACCTAATAATTCCTGGTAATTCCTTACAAACAGCTTGCTTGTCAACTCTTTGATGCTTTAATGAGATGCTTTTTCTGTTTTATCCAGCATTCTTTGCTCTTTTCAGTTAAAGGGTTGGTCCAAAAAACCTAGCCTCCTGTTTCTAAACACAGAAATTGCTAATCCCTAGGGCTTAGCATGGTACATGGCACGTTGTAACGGCTCAATGGATATTTGTTGATTGAATGAATGAGGTGAACCCAGGTCTCCAACATCCTTGCCCTTCCTAATGCATTGTACATCCTACTCCCAGGCCAAGACACTAACAGAGGGCTGTGGTCAGAGCTCCGTGAGCTGTACAGAGAGGCAGGGCTGTGAGCTCAGAGGAGGCAAAGATCCCTGTGGGATGGGGAGGGACAATGGCAGCGGTAGTGCATAGGACCGGGATGAGCACAAAGATGGAATTGCATCTCAGCAGATGAGCCACTGGATTGGGAAAAGAGGACTCATAGGAAGTGACATTGTAAGTAAAGGCCTGACGTGAAGGCTGGAATGTGTGAGGGATCCAAGAGCTAAGAGTGGGCAGAGAAGCAAGGACCAGCCAGGGAAAAGTCTTGAAGGCCAAGGGAGTCCCCTGAGGCCCGTGTGAATGCAGAAGCAGAACCATGGCCCAGGCTGTTCCCTGCAGCCGCTGGGAGGAGGGAGGAGAAGCAGCTTCTGTTGAAATGCACACATGGTAATTGCTAAGATGAGTATTTCCCCTAGTTTAAAAAGCTTTCTCCTCTGCATTTTCCTTGGTTCCAGTTTCAAAGGAATTTTAATTGCAAAGAAAATTTTGTCATCTCCCTGGGGGGAGAGGGCTCCATAGCTTCGAATAGTCATGCTTGGTGCTGATTCTTCTCCAAACTGGGGAATTTCACGCTTTGCCTGCGCGGAAGCTGTCTGGGGGTTGGGCAATGTGGAGGGAGGGGCGGGGGTGTGAGAGGGCTCCCCGTGCCTCTTTGGAGCCAGGAAGGCTGGGGTTGCAGTTGGGAAGTCTCTGGCATGGGTCCTCCATGAGGGTCTTCAGTCCCAACCTGGTGACTAACTCCCTTCTCCTCGAACCCAGTGGGTTTATTTAATTAATTATGTTAATTAAACAACCGGTCTCTCAGCTTTCCATCCTTGCTCCACTGTAGACTATTCTCCACACAGCAGCCCATTTGGAAAACAGTTTGGCAGTTTCTTAAAAAGTTAGACATAAATTTTCCATACAATCCAGCAATTCCACTTCTAGGTATCTACCCAAGAGAAATGAAAACATATATCCATGCAAAGGCTTGTAAGAAAATGTTCATGACAGCGTGATTCCAAATAGCCAAAAAGTGAAAACAATCCAAAAGTCTATTAACTGGTGAATGGATAAACAAGATGTGGTATATCCACGCAAAGGAATACTATTAAGCAATAAACAGGAACAGACTGCGGATATATGCTGTAATATGGACACATCTCAAAAACATTATGCTCAATGAAAGAAGCCAGATGCAAAAAAAGCACATATTGTATGACTTTGTTTATGTGAAATGTCCAGAAAAGGCAAATCTATAGAGACAGAAAACAGATTGGTGGCCGCAGAAAAGGCAAATCTATAGAGACAGAAAACAGATTGGCGGCTGCCTGGGGCTGGTGGTGGGAAGTGGGATTGACTGCAGATGGGCACGAAGCATCTTTCTGGGGTAAAAGAAACGTTCTAAAACTGGATAATGGTGGTGGTTGCACAACTCTGTAATTTACTAAAAATCATTGAATTGTACACTTACAATGAATGAATTTTATAGTATGTAAATTACACCTCAATAAAGCTGTCGAAAAAAATGGCTCCCATTTCTCTCAAAATAAAAGCCAGAGTTTCTCCAAGGCCCTACAGGATCTGCCTCCATGGCCTCTTTGACCTCACCCCCACCCGCTCTCCCCCTCCCTCCCTCTGCTCCAGCCCAGCTGGCCTTCTGGGTTTTCCTTGAACACAGCACATGTGCTCCCACCTGATAGTCTCTGCATTGGCAGTTCCCTCTGCCTGGAATTCTCTTTTCCTAGATATCTGCAGGGCTCCCTCTCTTCCTTACCATTTTAATATCTTTGTCCAAATATCATCTTCAGTGGAAAGTAACCCAACCACTCCATCTGAAATTGCAGCCTCTCTCCAAGGCTCTGCCAACCCCTCTTTCTCTCCTCTTTATTTTTCATAGGGCTTATCACCTCCTAACATATGAGTTACTTATTATGCTTATTGTTTGTCTCTCTCTCTCCACTAGTATACATGCTTCACTGGGATAGGATCTCTTGTTGGTTTGATTCTCTGATGTCCCCTGAGGGCATAGCGCAGTACCTGGCACAGAAAGCGGCTCAAGCCATATGTGTCGAGTGGATGAATTAATAAGTGATTCAACAAATGTTTTCTGGATGCCCTCTCTGTGCCAGGAGCTGAGCAGAGAGCAGGGACCTGGGTGGACAAGTCTCTCACCCCTAGATGGCTTGCATGTTAGTGGTAGAGAGACCATAGGCAAGAAAAAATGTTAAGCCAGTAATGGAGGGAAACCCCATCACCGGGAAATCATGAGTGTGATAAATTTTACAAAAGGCTATTATGGGAGCAGAATGAGAGAAGGTCTTCTTGGAGAGTGACGTGGTGGAGGAGTAGAAATTAGCCAGGTGGGGAGGAGGGAAAGAGGATTTCAGGCCCAGGGAACAGCATGTGTAAAGGCACAGAGGTCAAAGAGAGAGTGGGTCCCATTAGGAGACATGTAAGATGTTTGCTCCAATTGAAACATGAATCACGAGGGGGATGAGGAAGAGATGGGGCCCGCAAGGTGGGCTGGTGTCAAAAATGTAACAGTCAGTTCAGCAGGGCACCAAACAATCAGAAAAGACGCTGGCCCTAAAGAGCTGGGACATTCCCACTGGCTCCCTACTGTGCCCTAGGCCATAGGAGAGACCCTGGACTTCAGATGTTTGGCGATCACTGAAGGGTTTAAACAGGAGAGCAAGAGTTTAGGTTTAGCTTTTGGAAGGATCGCTCTGGCTGTCAAGAGCAGAACAGATTGGAAGGGTCAGGATTGACTCGGGGAGGCTGGGCAGGAGGCTTGAAGCCAGTCCAGCTGGGAGAATGGACCGTCGAGGTGACCGATTGGATGTAGGTGGTGGGAAAAGGGAGGGGTCATGGATAATAATAACAGCCACGGCCAGCACTCATTGAGCGGGTACTGTGCGCTAGGGAAGGCTCCGAGCACCTGAGAGGTAGCATCTCCTTATCCATACAACACCACGCTAGGAATCTGGAACAAGGGAGG